TCAAGGTGAATGCATACCTTGACTCTAGGGGTCAAACAACTAAAAATCAAGTCAGGAATCTTGGTGTGATTCTGGAGACAGACTGTTGTTTCAGTAGTCATGTCAAAGCAGTAACTAAATCAGCATACTATCATCTAAAAAACATTGCAAGAATGAGATGTTCCCTTTCAGTCGGTCACTACGTGTCACGGCTGTCTGATTGCACTATATTTTATGTATAATCATTTTCTATTCTTAACGGTTTTAAATTCATTTTAAACCTCTTAAATTTTTAAATCGTTTTCATAGTTTTTAAAGCACTTTGAGTTACCATTGTGTATGAAATGTGCTATATAAATAAACTTGCCTTGCCTTATACTAGGTGCGCTTCCGAGCAAGTTTACTACATTAGAAAAGCCACATATGGAGCTAGTTATGTGACGCAAACATCAAAATGTATTCGTTTACATATTATTCATTATTTCAAACGTGTTTTGTGGTCATAACATAGTATTGGGCAAGGAATTGTGGAAAAAAAAACGTTATTAACTGATAATCTGGCCCCGTAATCATAATGTGTGTGAATAAGGAATAAAAATAGTTGTTTTATTACTACAAATGTTAATTTTAGCTGTAAATCACTAATTGTATAGGAATGTTTTTGAGTTTTGCAAAAATGCATGTAGGCATGTTTTTCAAATGAGCCATGTTGGCAAAAACACCATCTGACAAATCAACTGCAAATATAGAAAAAACTGATTGCATGGCATTGTCACCATGTTCTATGCTTATGCAACTCCCTAAAGAGACCATTTTGTCATTTTTTTCCCCCTGAAGAGCACTTATGTCAACCTTATAATCAAGGTTTCTTGCCTCATAATTTACTTTTACCCAACATGACGAGGAGTGACAAGTTTCCTGCGATTTGCAGTAATTTGCCTTTTCTCACTAAAAGTAAAATGTGACATGACTCAATCATAATCAATAAGAACATTTTGAGATTAATAAACTGTTATGTAGAGTATAATTTTAAAGCAATGTGCAGAGCTACTTAACACAATGGCACTGACATATAAAGCTGGTTAAGAATATAAAATAAAAACATGTTGCTTCTCTTTAGAGTACCAAGATGATTTGAATTGGCCACTGAATTGCAATTCATAGAATAGGCGATGCATTCTGAAAAACTGGAGGTCCTTTCACTCCGATCATTTTTTTAAAATATGATTAAATATATAAAAACGTGTACATATTTATTTTTAAAAATAGACTTTTAATTTACAGTATTTTTAACCTTTCTAGTTAAAAATGACCACAATGCATATGAATGTCAATGTATATTAACATTCAATTGCAAGTCAGCACAATGTTTGCTACCTCAATTGATGTTCTGCTGTAATATTAAAATCATTCATTTTAATATGCTAAAACTGTAATAATTTACTCTAATTATTAATGGAAAATACTAATATGAAATATTAGGAAAATATTAGGCTTTTGAATTTCAATGTATTTCAATGAATTTCAGCTATAATATTAAAATGACTCCGTTTAAATGCAATAATGTAGTTAATTTGCTAAAAAGATTTTTTTAAATACTTTAAATACTCTTTCTAGTTAAAATGACATCAATACATTTGGATTTCAATTATTTCAAAGTATTTTACCATTCAAATTTGTACTGCAAATCTGCACCATGTTCGCTACTCCAATTCAATTTTCCCTATAAAATTAAAACGATTCATTTTAAATATAATGATTACATTAATTTGCAAATAACTAATAATTTGGTGCGAATACTAATTAAAATTATGGAGAAAATGGCAGAATGGAAAGTATTCAAGTTTTTGTCTTTCTAGTTAATAACATCAATGCATTTGAATTTCAGTTGCATTTAGTTGAATTGCAAACTGCAAATTCAAATGTTGCCGTATAATCTAAATTACAAATTTTAAATAACTTAATTTTCTTTCATTATTAAAGACAGATACTAATATAAAACACGGGAAAAATATCAGAATGTCAGGTTTATTTTATACTTGTCTTCAACTTAACAATAGCATCAATGTATTGAATTTCAGTGCATTTCAATATATTTTTACATTCAAATGTCAAGTCTGCACCCTGTTAGTTACCTCAATTCATATTGAACTTGTCTGAACCTGAAAAACATTCTGAATGGCACATAATCATTACGTTTACATGTAAATGTGGGCGGTCATAAATACAGGCACTCACAGTTGTGAGTGCTACTTCAAGACATCAGAAATCATGCTGTCTGATATTAAGTTTTAATCCTTCATCCGGAAGTCCAAAAGAGCCTAACAACTAGCGGCAGAGCTAACGACGTGAGACATAAAAACAGGAAGAGCACCGACACAAATGAGACAGAGTGCTGGATGTGCTGCCAAACTAACCTTGGCAGACTGGAGGAGGACCATCCATCTGCAGTCGCTCACCCAGCCTACAGGTCAAGATCTCGCTCCCGAGCAGCGTGAAGCCCGGCAGGCAGCGGTACCTGATGATGTCTCCTGTTGAGTAATTACACACCCAGATCTTTGCTTTTCCACTACAACTAGCGCTCAACAACACATTAGCTAATTAAGACCTGTCCGCTTACACGCTTGTGACAGTAATGATGACAAATGCAGAGCGTCGGGTGTTATTTTCCCCACAGAAAGGGGCATTTTCTTTCACATTAAATAAGAAACGCTGCATTGCGAAGGTGGGCACCTTGGGAGCGTCTCTTTAATGAGGGTTCGATGCGTGATAAATCTAGGCAAACAGATGATCATCAAACGTTCTGCAGTCTTACCAATTTCAAATTCATCATCTTCAGCCAGGATCTCTGCGTTGGCGACACGTGGGGGAGGTTGACAGACACGAAGTTGGTAAGCTGCGAAGGGAACGAGATGAGTGAGAAACGTGATGTTTAGCTGCTGGTTCAGTTTGAATACAACCCACACACTTACATCTTAAATCATCACACCAGTCAACCGAGTTTTTCTAAATGTACAACAAAATTAGGCGCCGCCGATGCAAAGTATGAATCGTAATCAAGGGTCATACATAGCATCTGCCTCGCCAACACTGATTATGCCTTACAATTATAACAATGTCTAATTGCAAGTTTCTAAAAGAGGATCATATGCATTAAGAACCTTCTATTACCAGTATGTTATAATAACAATCACTATTGTGATGTAACATAATTTGAAGACATAATATGTTGAGCAGTACATTATGTCGTACTCCCTCACTAAGACATATAATTCACAAATGTTAAGAATAGTTTATGCGAACTTCATGTTGTTGTGTGGTAATAAATATTAGGAAATGATTTTCAAATGCAGTGACCAGTTAATTTATGCACATACAAAATTACTTTTAAAACATTATTAAAAATAATAATAAATTATTAAAAATAATAAAAAATAAGTTTTGTTATGATATTTAAAACATCTTTTTCAACTGTAGTAATTTGCAGTAATTATTAATGGCAAATACTATATATAAAATATTAGCAAAATGACAGCATGGAAAAATATATTATTATATTTTACAAAGAAAAAATTAATTGCAGTGACCGAAAGGAATCTTGTAACAGCTCTATGGCTTGATTCATAGACTGTGCAACTGCATAAATAATTGTGTCATCAGCATATAAATGAATTTTGGCCGTGTTTATCTCTTGACCTAGGTCATTAATATAAAGTGAAAATAAAACAGGAGCTAAAATAGATCCCTGTGGGACTCCTTCATTTATTTTTGATTCTGTAGAAATGAAATTTTCAGCTGAGACACACTGCATTCTTTCTGTCAGATAATTCTTGAACCAATTTAGACTCATTTTACTAAAACCCAAGCAACTGAGTCTCTGCAATAAGATTTTGTGATCTACAGAATCAAATGCTTTAGAGAGATCAACAAATAGAGCAGCACAGTACTGTTTATTATCTAGGCATGTAATAATATAATTTGTAGTCAACATAGCAGCTGTAATAGTACTATGACCTGAGCGGAAACCTGATTGAAATTCATTTAAAATATTATTTTCCATTAAAAACTGTTTTACTTGGTCATTTACAAGAGATTCAAATACTTTCGCAATAACTGATAGCCTTGAAATAGGTCTGTAATTGTCTAATTCAAAAGGGT